CACAACCACCACTTGGAAAGCTCTGGCTTTCTCTTGCTAGACTTCTTGAAAATATCGAGCCACTGAGTTTTCTACCCGTGTCATGAGAATAAGGCTGCTTCCCCACCGCACAGTAATGGGATAACTGCAGCAAACTCATGAAGGGCTCATTTGCCTGCATAGCTGGAGGTCAGATTTAAAAACCTGAACAGCAGACAGACCAAGCTGGGGGTTTAATATAGAATCCTGGACACACAATTCTTCTGACCTTTTGAGAAAAATAAAAGAGTGATTAAGTTTTCCCACTCTCATTATGTGATTCCCTCCATTTCAAACCCAATTGTAAAGTCAAATGCAACGCAAGACAGGATAAAAGACAAATGATAAAGGAATTACTTGCAAAATGAAGGGGGCTTTGAAAAGACAACCACATTTCTTAGTGAAGCTGTATTTTAATGGAAGAGCTAAAGGTTTTTCCCAAAGATCGGGTTCTAGTTGCTCACAGTAATTGGGAATTCTAGATGAGGGATGCACATCTTCCGCGTGCATCGAACAAAGCATCTAATTAGCTCAGTGGCTCTTGGGCAAATATTGTGATGTGTTTCAAGATATCCATAAAGACGCATATCAACAGAAGATTGCTAATGCATGTAGATCCCCTTTGCTTGGCCGAGCTACATGAATGCAACAGCAAACAAAAGCACTACAGTGTGCCATTATAGCTGAGACATCATTCAAAGATATCACAAACAATACTATGAAGAGGAGGAGGAGGAGTGCGCACTTAACCACTACACCAAAGTAAACTTGCTGCCTCCCCTACCCGTGCAGGTGACAAAAGCCACACAAGGGATCACCCACAGAAAACAAAGTAGTCTCTACCTACCTGGGAAACTCCCAAGACATGCAGAAAAATATAAGTGAGAGACTTTAAAAAAAAAAAATCTGGTAAAGGCTGAAAAGGCTTTAGAAGGTATGGAATGCTGAAAGCATCTGGGTGTCAGATAAAGGGGAAGGGGGGGTTCAATCTGCTGAAATCCCTGAAAGTTTAGAGATTCCCAAATTGTATCCCACCCCCAAAGTTTCCTCGCAGACCCCTCAACTTGTGAATTGTTGATTCTGGTAAATTAGGGCACCAAATGCTAGCAATGACCAACCTAATCCTAAAAATTTGCTAACAATTTTATTTTCTCTTCTCTTTCTCTTCTTCCTTCCTCCTTTGTTGTTCAGTTTGCCAAGTCCCACACAATCACAGTGCGATATGCCAGATGTTGTACGGGACACATCAGAGTATTGTCAGGAGCCATGCCAGAGGGAAAGCCGACCAGAGCAGCAACCAGGCTCTCTGGAGACTATAACGAAGCAATTATGGATGCTTTCAAGGTAGCAGGGAATAAGTACACCACTACAAAATGCCATCAAACATTTGGATGAAACACAGGCTTTGGGGATATTTCGTTGATGAGATCACATACTTCACAGGTGCTTTTCAAGGGAAGAATATGAACGCCGAACAATTCTCAGGAAGAGACAGAGCCAATTTCATTTTACTGCCAGAGGTATCGCTGGGTGTTCATGGAAGCATATCTCAGCAGAAGAAGAAAATGTTTCCTCAAATTAATATGTGGTAAACATCCTCAACCATTCCACCCGCCTGCCCCCCCAATTTTGCTTCCTCTGTTTGGAAAAGTAATGACAGAAGCAAACCTAATACATCCAGTTCCAATTTTATAGAAACCTGCTTCTAAAGGACTGCTTTTTTCTTAAGTGACCCATACTGCTCTGAATTAGAATAGCAAGCTTTGCTTGGTAGATCAATCAGCTAAAAATGCAGCCGAAGTATGGTTCTGCTGAAGTGCTGCTGGAGGAGTGTTTTACAGATAATGTGGACCGCCAAAAAGACAATTAAATGGGTTCTGGATCAACTCAAGCCTGAACTCTCCCTAGAAGCTAAAATGACCGAACTGAGGCTATCGTGCTTTGGTCACATTATGAGAAGACGAGGACAATGATGTCAGGAGAAATTGAAAGCAGCAGGAAACCATTCCCCTTACAGCAAATTCCTTCAGAGAGCTTGGCTTATGGTATACTAAATACATAATTACTTAGAGATGCAGAGGTTTCCTCTCCCCTCAGTTTTCCACCTCTGCTTTTATCTCTTCCTCTGAAGAAAGTCTCTTCAGCACACCTATGTCAGCTTTCATCACTGACAACGGAAGATGAAAGGCACCCATGAGTCTCTGACTCCCAAGGTGGACCAAGACAGAAAAACTGCATCAGTGCCTCTGTATATTATTTTTTAAAACTTATATGGAACAACTGAATAAAATACCTTCTTTATTTGCAAAGATTTCTCAAGCAGAGCTCCCTGCAGGAATCCTTTCGGTAGCTACTTCTAAGAAATCCTCATCTTGTATTGAAAAATTCAACAGGTGGGGCAAGAATGGCTCCAGGGGAAAGCACGGAGGAGGCAAATCCTGTCTCCCTCCTCTAGGCAACTTTCTTTTTCAAAAATATTACAACCATCAGCTTTTCTGAAATGAGCTGTCAGCAAATGTCTGAAATAACGAGCCTTCAGAGCAGAAAAGGATCATCGCACACATTATTATTTTTTGCTGTCCTGAAAGCAATGCAAGAAACTAGGTGTATGCAATTTTCTTTTCTCAGTATTTTCTGGTTCGGGTCTATTGGGCCCGAAATTTTTTGCGGGATTCCTGAAAAAACCCAGATCCCAATACTGGTAAAGTATCGGATCTGGGATTTTTCGGAAATCCCAATTTTCCTGGATCTGATATACCCAAACAGAAACATACAGAGGGAAAAAAGCAGCAGCAAAGGCACAAAAAACAGCTGAGAGGTGACTCAGCTAGGGCTCTTTTGGGCAGTCCCTTTAAACCAGACTGCCCCCCCCTGACTGTTTTGCGGGCTGACCTCTGCAGTCCCTTTAAACACCCCCTGTTTAAAGGGACTGCAGGTGAAAGCCCAAAAACAGTTGAACAGCAGGAGCAATCTGCTCCAGCCTCTTAGCTGTTCTGAGTTTGCCAGTAATTCCCGAATATATCTGGGATTTTTTCGGGGATTATTTCCAGTTTTCCTGAAAAATCCCAGATACATTTGGGATGCTGAAATATACCTGAAAAATACTGACTCGAATGCACACCCCTACAAGAAACTTGGACACAGCACAGGGCCTGATTTGTCATCTCAAGCAAGCAAAAGAACACACACATGACAAGTAAGGCTGGGGTTCCACTCTGAGCTTTAGCTGTGGGCTCCAGGTGAAAGGTGACTGGTGATGGTGGCAAGACAAATGGAACTATCGCAGTAGTGAAGAGGGAGATATATGTGGCCCTTGGGATGGTGTAACAGCCCAAGAGCAAGTAGAAGCAGGGAGGCTGGTGCTGCATGGTCCCCTTGGCTCAGCTCCAATGGAAGTCTGAGAAGGCAAGGCAACAGGTACCCCGAGGTGCTGCCGCTGGCAGGGTCTGAGCTGAGTGGCCCCTTGTGGCACTGCCAGCACCACTGGGGCTCGGCTTGTGCTGCTCCTGCTCTTCAGCAGCCTTTCATGGCAGCAGCTCAGCCTCTGGAACTTTTCAGGTAAGGGTAAAGGGCCCCTGAAAGCAGGGCCAACATTAGCAGGAGCAACAAACCCCAAACGACTGACTAGCAAAGGGAAGGAGACAAGAATGTCAAACCTGTTGGCAGGTATTTAATATGTCAGGCCTCTAGTGGCAGAATAGTCCTCCTCTTCCCAGGTAGAAGAAAGAAAACCAGGGTGGATTAACCCCTTCCTCTCTGGTTTGAGGCCACCCACAGGTTGCAGCCCAGACAGATATATAAGCACTGACCTCCCACAAGCCTACAAAGAATTACATCCTCACATTTCCATATTTGATAAAATAATCTGGAAAATCCTGTTATGACACAAATTCTATGAGTCATCCCCCGCACCCCCCGCCTAGGCTATAACATAGGCTTGGGAGGGACAGTGGCCTCTGCTTTGCATGCAGAAGGTCCTAGTTTTAATCTTCAGCAACTCCAGTTCAAAGGGCCAGGCAACAGATGATGTGAATGACCTCTGCCTGAGACACCGGAGGGCCCCTGGCGGTGAGCATCAAGGCAGAATGGAGATTTGAACCTGGTCTCCTGGGTCCTAGTCCAGCACTCTGACCCCTGACCTGACTGGCACCCAGCAGATCATATATATGCATTTCAAAACCATGCATCTGGAAGAGGCCAGGAAACAGCCAAACCCATTTCCTTACTTTCATATTTTAAAAGGCAAACAGGAAATCATAAGGCAGGAAGCCGCCTTAAGATATTGGCATATGTCAGGTTGAATTTACGAAAAAATTTAACAGGGTCACAATTGGAATAAAACATGCTACTGTAAAGAGTGGACATATAAGCCAAAGCGGTTTAGGGCCATTGCAAGCGACCCCACCTCCATAAAGGTATGCCAGGCAAATTTGTTCACCAGAGCTGTTAGTAGAGTGCAGGTTGCAGGCATTTTATCACATTTCATCATATATGATTAGGCTGGAGAGGAACTGGGGGTTTTATTGTCGAGAGCCAGGGTGGTGTAGTGGTTAGAGCATCAAACTAGGATCTGCCAGAGTCAGGTTTGAATCCCCGCTCTGCCATGGAAGCCTGCTGGATAACCTTGGGCTACTCAAACATTCAGCCAAGCCCACCTCACAGGGTTGTTGTGAGGATAAGATAAAATGGAGAAAGGGGAAATGTGGTAAGCCACTTTTGAGTCCCCACTGGGGAGAAAAGTAGAGTATAAATGGATTTTTTAAAAAATGGTTTAGTTATATTTGTAAGCTGCCTTGAGCCATGGGGGAAGGCAGGATAACAACAACAACACTAGCCCCCAGCCACCCCTTCTTTTCAGGTAAGGCACCCAGCCATTAGAGTTGTGAGCTGTGCATGCAAGCTGATTTACATTTAACATTATGGAGAAATAGCACCCCGGTTCATCTGGAGCCCCCAATACTCAGAAGAAATATGTACATTACCTCGGCTCCTAAACTGAGAGAAATTATCTCATCCTCGAAAGCAGAATGTGTATCTATATGAGGGGGGATTCCTGTAACATAAATAAAAGTGGTAGCTAAGTAAAGAACAACAATGAACATCACTTATTTTTCAATCTTTCATCTACAGCAGCAGACCCAAGAATGTCCAATGTCATCTGCAGCCTTCCTAGCAAAGTTCTGCTTTAAGAACAGAGATGCAAGAAGTTCACTGCAAAAGAATGAGAATTGTGAGTACTAGGAATGGTTCAGACAGAGCCCATGGCTCAGTGACATAGCATCTGTGTGGCATGCAGAAGGTCCCAGGTTCAATCCCCGGCATCTCCAGTTAAATAGATGACACAGTAGGTGATGTGAAAGACCTCCGCCTAAGACCCACTAGCAGTCTGAGTAGACAACATTGACCTTGACGCAACAATGGCCCGATTCAGTATAAGGCAATTTTCCATGTGTTCAGGATGAGACTAATCCTTATGGCAGATGCAGACACCCAAAACAGCAGCTCCACATCTTTTCCACTCTCCCATGAAGTCTAGAAAAACTAAATGCATGATGTGACATCCTTACGTCACAAGTTTCACGTGGTCCACTTCACTGGCTTCAGACTGCAAGGGAGAAGAAACTCACAAAGCAGTGACATCACATTACGTATTTTCATATCTCTGGATATTACCATGGAGAGAAGGAAATACAGGACTGCCATTTTCCTGGTAAATCAAAGGAACAAACCACTGAAGGGAGTAACATGCGCACGGGCAGAAAAGTGAATGTCCAACTGACAGCACTCGGGACAGAGGGATGGGGTAAAAGGAAACAGAAACAAGAGTTTGGGGAGATGCCATCCCAGTGTAACACTATGCATCAGAAGGAATGGAAAACCATCCAGTGCAATTACTGTGTGTAATAAAATGTACATAGATGCTTGTAGACCAAGCAGCAAGCTAGAAATCAAATAAACAGTTAATGTTTAATAAACTGACAGAAGTATTCATCCTCTCTTTTCTCCTGGTTCATTTCATAGCCAGGTCGTTCAGACAACCCAATTAAAGCAACAACAGATGACCACTTTACTACAACCGCTGGTTAAATCCGGGAACAAATAGGGCAAGAATTCTCAATTCCACTGTGCCTCTGCAGGGCATTAAGTGGCATGAATTCTGCAGCTCCACATCTTTTCCACTCTCCCATGAAGTCTAGAAAAACTAAATGCATGATGTGACATCCTTACGTCACAAGTTTCACGTGGTCCACTTCACTGGCTTCAGACTGCAAGGGAGAAGAAACTCACAAAGCATCACATTACGTATTTTCATATCTCTGGATATTACCATGGAGAGAAGGAAATACAGGACTACCATTTTCCTGGTAAATCAAAGGAACAAACCACTGAAGGGAGTAACATGCGCACGGGCAGAAAAGTGAATGTCCAACTGACAGCACTCGGGACAGAGGGATGGGGTAAAAGGAAACAGAAACAAGAGTTTGGGGAGATGCCATCCCAGAGTAACACTATGCATCAGAAAGGATGGAAAACCATCCAGTGTAATTACTGTGTGTAATAAAATGTACAAAGATGCTTGTAGACCAAGCAGCAAGCTAGACATCAAATAAACAGATAATGGTCTAAAATGTGGAAATCAATAAAATTACTAAAGGCTACCTCATATAAAGAAAACATATGATGACACAGTAGATGATGTGAAAGACCTCCATCTAAGACCCACTACCAGTCTGTGTAGACAACATTGACCTTGATGCAATAATGGTCTGATTCAGTATAAGGCAGTTTTCCATGTGTTCAGGATGAGACTAATCCTTATGGCAGATGCAGACACCCAAAACGGCAGCTCCACATCTTTTCCACTCTCCCATGAAGTCTAGAAAAACTAAATGCATGATGTGACATCCTTACGTCACAAGTTTCACGTGGTCCACTTCACTGGCTTCAGACTGCAAGGGAGAAGAAACTCACAAAGCATCACATTACGTATTTTCATATCTCTGGATATTACCATGGAGAGAAGGAAATACAGGACTACCATTTTCCTGGTAAATCAAAGGAACAAACCACTGAAGGGAGTAACATGCGCACGGGCAGAAAAGTGAATGTCCAACTGACAGCACTCGGGTCAGAGGGATGGGGTAAAAGGAAACAGAAACAAGAGTTTGGGGAGATGCCATCCCAGTGTAACACTATGCATCAGAAGGAATGGAAAACCATCCAGTGCAATTACTGTGTGTAATAAAATGTACATAGATGCTTGTAGACCAAGCAGCAAGCTAGAAATCAAATAAACAGTTAATGTTTAATAAACTGACAGAAGTATTCATCCTCTCTTTTCTCCTGGTTCATTTCATAGCCAGGTCGTTCAGACAACCCAATTAAAGCAACAACAGATGACCACTTTACTACAACCGCTGGTTAAATCCGGGAACAAATAGGGCAAGAATTCTCAATTCCACTGTGCCTCTGCAGGGCATTAAGTGGCATGAATTCAATTATGATTGGAGAAATTGACTGGAGAAACAGGGAGCATAACCCATGTCCACGTGGACACATGCAGCTCCTTATGCAGAGTCAGACCACTGGGTTACCAACATCAGTACTGTCTACTCTGATTGAGCAGCTCTCCAAGGTCTCAGAGAGGTCATCTTCTCCTACACGATCCTTTTAAATTGTGCTGCTGGGCACTGAACCTGGGCCCTTCTACACAGAACACAGGTGCTCTATTGTGAAGCCCTCCCTGGCCCATTACTGTAGAACAGCCTCTTCGTTTATTGTCTTGTCACCCTCTCTAAATAAGAAAGGAGGCTTTTCTTAAGTTTGAATAAAGAGGCGGTGCAGAGAGATATTCTTCATGACTGCTTCAGTGTGCTGGGTTCTCTTGGGTGCAGTTAAGTTTGAGTCTCAACAATCAGGTAAACGGGGTTAAGGGAATACACATACATACCTTGTCCAGGTTCATACTGATTTATGGTTAGTTGATCAGGTTTCTCCTTAATGTATCCCAACTTCAGGCACTTGGCAAGAATCACGTTACAGAGCTCTGGGAGACCTGACGTTGCAAGTAACAAAAGTAAGTGTTCTCTAAATCTTTTGACCCCTGAAAAATTTCTGTGTAACTGAAGATAAATACAGGAAGAAAATCTGCAAAGTTTAGCTCCAAAAACTTCATGCAGAAGACCAGTCAGGTGCCATAACAAGCAGAAGACCTTGACTGCCTTAAGATTATTATTTTTTGTATCCATAACCACATAGCCACGGTTTTCAATCATCATGTAAATTTCTGCTGTGTACTTAAAAACCACTTCTTTTCATGCTATTGTACAAGAAGAGTATAATGGCATTCTCACACGGGGTTTTCACATGTCTTCAACACACAGATGTAACCTGCACCCTTCTATCCTAAACCGAACTGTGTTTGAAAAGTAAGAACAGCACTGGCAGCAAGTCCAAACAAGCTATTCATGACAAGGCAATCATTACAGTATTTCAGAATGGCCTCTTCATCTCTTATGTGCACAAGCTTGTTTCTTTGATCGCAGTGTTTGTTCACACACTAGGGAGGTGTTTGAGAAGACAGCGTTTTGCTACTGTTTAGCCAAGCTGGGCCTCCAGTTTGAAGAAAGCTAATTGTGTTGTAGGTGGGAGAGCTATAATGGATATGATTACTATCTTAAAATAAACATGCTGGCTTCAGATGCCTACTACTTGCTATAAGCTAGGAGTCTGACTCCTGATGGAAGGCCAAAAAATAGCAATCCTAAGAGCAACTTCCAAATTTATTCTCCCCTACATATATACATTGGCCCATTGGGAAGTGGAAACAAAACAATCAGAACGTGTATCTCTGTCCGATAAATCAGGTATGGAAAGGAAACTCCTCTGAAACTGTCACCCAGAGTTTGTCTATCATATTCAACAGACTCTCCTAACATTACAAAACATGCCTCCTTGTGCATTTTCTGAATGACTTCCTAACACTGTAAATAGGATTTTACTCAAATATATACTTCACATGAAGGTGTGAGGCTTACACTGCCATCTTATACAGAGTTTCTCCAGCGTACATCAACAAAATTCAACAGGCTTAAACTGGGGTAACTCTGCATAGAACTGCACTGTGCATTACCTAACTGATGACAGTACTACACAATTTTTTTAAAAAAATTCAACACAAGACAGATAAAAGGCATTCCAATTAGATGCTCACCTCCAGGCAATGGTCTGTCTCTATCCACATTGTTGTTATCATACCGAAACTCATATCCAAAATGCTTTACTCTCCTGTGTTTCAAAGACTTCTGAGCTGCAAAGCAGAATAGAAGTAACATGACACTTCTTTAACAAAGATAAGTAACAAACAATCACACACATATATCACAGAATCACAGAGTTGGAAGGGGCCATGCAGGCCATCTAGCTCAATGCAGGATCAGCCTAGAGCATCCCTGACAAGGGTTTGTTCAGACACTGCTTGAAGACCGCCAGTGGGGGGGAGCTCACCACCTCTTTAGACAGCTGATTCCACTATTGCACAACTCTTACTGTCAAAAACTTTCTCCTAATATCCAACCGGTACCTTCCCGTCCTTAATTTGAACCCATTATTGTGAAGATCTCCAGCCACCACCTGTAGGCTAGCCACCCTACATAAGGGGGCAAATGGTACAAACAGCAGCACTGGAGAGTCTTTGGCTGCTGCATTATTAGCACAAAGAATAGATGAAAGATTCAGTCATGTTTTGCTAATTCTGCCCCCCCCCCTACACAGGCAGCAGAAGGAGGGAGTAACAAGGTGTCAGAGTACTGAGGTGGAAGATTGGCCTGTACCACTTCAGACTGCCCCCCAAAAAAGCCCCCCAAATTAGTAATTCCCTGTAAGTGGAAAACAAACAGAGCATACAAAAGGCTATGATAGCACCTTTCTTCCTGATGTGCTAAGTTTTATTGGCAGGGAGTCATTACATGGGGGAAGGTTAAGAATTTGACCCCATCTCCCCTGCCGCCTGAAATGCTACAACATGTTTTCCTCACCTCAGGATTCATTCTGCAGCAAATGTAGACCAGTCAGCAGGTCTGCAAGGCAAGAGCTCGGGTATTTTTACTCCTGGAACACATTTCACGAGCTGTGCCCGCAGTGGGTGGATCACTCGCATCATGACTTCAGAGCCTGGCATCATTTCCAGATAATCTGAGAAAGATGCCCTGTTCTGGACCCTGCTCAAGCTCACCCAGGTTTACATTCAGGCGAAACTGCTTCACTGCTGGTGCTCCTGCAAGAGGGCAGTGCATCCACCTTGTTGCTACGCTTGGGGCAGCTGCTTTGTTTGCCTATCCAAGTTACGCTATCGGCATCAGCTTTCCTTTACCGTCAGCCAGCAGCCTTCAGCTCTCACAGCTCTTACCTGCTTGTCATGTGAGACGTGTAAAACGTAGCCGGATGATTCATACAACCAGTTTTACCTGGTGGTGGGAAATGCCTTCAAGTCACAGCTGACTTATGGTAACCTCAGTATGGTTTTCAAGGCCAGAAACGCGGGCCCACGGCCAGGATTTTGTGCCTTGTAGGGCAATTTTTTTTCTGATGGGGCTGCCATTATTTGCCATAATGAAGGGGGGGTGGCACGCACCCCTCTCCCTCCCCTCCTGTAAGATTTAAAGGGCCCTTCAGCTGATCAGCGTGTTGGCATCTGCCAATTAAATGCCATGCAAGATGACAGCTAGGCGGTGAGATCACGCCCGGAAAATCCGCCTGTCTTCCGTCTCTCTAGCGTGCCTAATGCTCCGTGTGACTGGGGCCCAAGTTACACTATCGGCATCAGCTTTCCTTTACCGTCAGCCAGCAGTCTTCAGCTCTCACGAGCCTTACCTGCTTGTCATGTGAGACGTGTAAAATGTAGCTGGGTGATTCATACAACCAGTTTTACCTGGTGGTGGGAAATGCCTTCAAGTCACAGCTGACTTACGGCGACCTCAGTATGGATTTCAAGACCAGAGACGCGGGCCCACGGCCAGGATTTTGTGGCTTTCAAAGCCGAAGAGCCAGCGCTGTCTGAAGACGTTTCCGTGGTCATGTGGCCGGCATGACTAAACACCGAGGTGCACGGAACACTGTTACCTTCCCACCGAAGTGGTACCTATTTATCTACTTGCAATTTCTTGCTTTCGAACTGCTCGGTTGGCAGGGGCTGAAACTAGAGACGGGAGCTCACTCCATCATGCGGCAACTCGGGTCTTGAACTGCTGAACTACCGACCTTCCACAGCCTGCAGTTCAGCGTCTTAACCACTTGAGCCACGGCAGAAATGTGTATATAGCTCTGCACAAAAGCAGTGTGTGCTGCACTTCTTTACTGCAAACACCGACACAGCGGGGAGCACATGGCCCGCTGGTCAGCTAGAGGGCCCTTTAAATCCTGCAGGAGGGAAGGAGAGGGGCACACGCCACCCTCCTCTTCTTCTCAAAAGCGTTTAAAGGATACCATTAAATGCTTTGGGGAAGAAGCGGGGGGGGCGGGTTTAAGAAAGGGGGCAGAGCCCCCAATAGCCCCACTGCAGCTATGGGCAAGCAGAGATGTTCAGAGGTGGTTTGCCATTGCCTACCTCTACAGAGCAGCCTGGGTCTTCCTTAATGGTCTCCCATCCAAGTACTAATCAGGGCAGACCCTGCTTAGCTGATGAGATCAGGCCAGTCTGCGCCATCCAGGTCAGGCCATGCCCATCAATGCTTTTATCCCACCTTTACTACAAGGAGCTCCAAGCAGTGGACACAGACCTTCTTCTTTCGTCACCACTGGGCCAGAGCTTTACCACCTGCTCCATTTCCCTCCCGTCCCCCCGGATTAGTCTGCTGATGACAAGCACAGCCATTGTATTGGTTGGCTTTTTGTTCTGTTTTCTCATATTGTAAGCCAGTATTGAGTCTGTGATCTGAAAAAAGCAAGTTTAAAAGTACCCAAATAAACACACATTTTACCCTTACAGAGGAGGGAGAGCTTGTACCTGAATAAAACTTGGTCTTAAAGGTGCTACTGGACTGTTTTGGACCAGGGGGGCAGGGTTCTGCAACTTACCTGGCTGCTTCTTGCTCTGACTGAGGGCTGCTGGGAGCAGGGGGTGGAGCTTGTTGCATGTGGCCGCCCCCTGGGCTCTTTACTGCCGGAGCTCCGCTCCTGTGCGCTCCTGCAGGAAATGACCCCTGCCCTTACAACAACTTTGTGAGGGAAGTTAGGTTGGGAGAGTCCAGCTGTCCCAAGATCACCTAGCAAGCTTCCTGGCAGAGTAGGGATTTTAACTAGGGTCTCCCAGATCCTTGTTCAACCACTACAATACTCTGGCTGTTTGAGGAGGGACATTTTACTGTAGTGGACTGACTTCAGATTTCTTCAGCCTCCATTTCGCCATTTGCAGCCTCAGGCTCAACTGCCTGTGAAAATTTTTTGCTTATAAGGTGAACACCTATCCTGACACATTGGTGGGGGGATTTCAAAGACAAGTGTACCATACCAAAAAATCCCCTAAAAGAGCCCACAAATGGAGATTTTTGCCATGTTAAAACAAAATACTTCTTCCTGTCGGTAACAGAGACAAAAAAACAACAACACAAACCAGAAGAAACTTTTAGAAAGTGCTGTTTGACAGATGTATTACTTACCATTTGGAATGACCTCATCTTCTGTCCAATCAATGCTTTCCAAAAGTCGCCTTTCTTCTTCGGGAGAAACCAGATCTTCAATTACCCTCAGCCCTGGAGGCAAGGCCGTAGGTGTTGTGACCTCCCAAGGAACTGTGGGAATAAAAATGTGAAGGCTCTCAGTGAAAATGACACACTCGGGTGTCCTTGCAGGCAAGGTGCAAGCTTATCAGATTCACAGTTCTTTTCCAGAAGAAAACAAGTACTGAATTTATATAGACTTTTTAACCTCTCCTATCCCCAAATCCTCTGGGCAGGAAGCCCTGCTACAAATGATAATATTAAGATAAAGCTATTAACCCCCTGCTCCTTTCTGGACACTCGCCTGAGTAGGAGAAATCTTATATACTCCTTCTGGAAAATAAGCTAGTGAATTAAGTGGTCGAGCCAAAAGGAATTGTGAACAGAGAGAGTAATAACCTGACACCACAGGATGGTCTAGACACACTGTGCTGCACTACACACGAAAACTCCTCTTTGGGGGGCATGACAATCTCACTGTTTTGAAGATTCAAATGCCTGACTTCCCTGTCAAAATAAAGGTCATCCTTTCCCCCAGCTGTTTCAGGTAAGATTTCAGCTGAATGTGACTGTCTATTTCCAGGGCTCCCGTGGTTTCTCAGCTGCTCGCTGCTGACTGGCAGAGAATGTCTAAATGACCTATAGAAAAGGAGCCGAGTATTTATTTTTTAAAAATGTTCACAGGCCGCTTTCCAATGTTCAAAGCAGCATTTATTTATTTTTTTGCCATTGTCACAGCTGACTTACAGCAACCCGGTAGGATTTTCAAGGCAAGAGATGTTCAGAGGTGGGTTTCTCATTGCCTGCCTCTGCCTCACCACCCTGGTATTCCTTGGTGGTCTCCCATTCAAGTACTGACCAGGTCTGACCATGCTTAGCTTCTGGAATGTGATGGGATCAGGCTAACATAAGAACACAAGAAAAGCCCTGCTGAATCAGATCAATAGTTCATTTAGTCCAGAATCCTATCTTACACAGTGGCCAACCAGTTCCTCTGGTCAGCCAACAAAAGGGCATAAAGGCTGAGGCCTTCCCCTGGCTCTGGGATAAAGGCTGAGGCCTTCTTCCTGGCTCTGGGATTCAGAGGCTTAATGCCTCTGAATGTGGAAGTTCCCCTCAGCCACCGTGGCTAGTCCCCATTGATAGATTCATGGAGGATAAGTCTATATAAACTTTTATAGCTGTTTATTCCTATGGCCATCACTACATCTTTTGGCAGCAAATTCCACATTTTAATCACGCTCTGTGTAAAGTAGTATCTCCTTTTGTCTGCCCTGAACCTACCACCCATCAGCCATCGAGTTCTAGCATTTTGGGAGAGAGAGAAAAAATTCTCTTTGCAAACTTTCTTCACCCCATGCATAATTTTAATAACCCTCTATTGTGTCCTCCCTTAGCTGTCTCTTTTCTACACTGAAAAGTCCCAGACTCTTCAGCCTTTCCTCATAGGGAAGGTGCTCCAACCCTCCTCTCTACTGTTTCCAGCTCTGCAATGTCCTTTTGGAGATACGAAACCACCCAAAGAGTGATTAACATGTGCCTTCCCCGGCCTGTCCAAGGGCCGACATGCCAGGGTTCCCTGCAGCCACAGGGCGCCTGGGCAAGCCAAGGGAAGGCATGGGGGGTGGCCTAATATGCGAGCTGCACTGTCTGGGGTGTGGCCTAATATGCTAATGTGTTTCTTCTGTTGGGTGTGACCTATTATTCTAATGAGTTCCTGCTGGGCTTTTTCTACAAAAATGGACCTCCTGATGGCACCTGGTATTTCTGGCCACTGTGTGATACAGAGTGTTGGACTGGATGGGCCTTTGGCCTGATCCAACATTGGCGTCTCTTATGTTCTTATGAACTGTACACAACATTCCAAATGAGGCTGCACCATAGATCTATACAGGGGCATTACAGTATAGGCCGTTTTATTCTCAGTCTCTTTCCTAATAATCCCTAACACAGAGTTTTGGTTTTTTCACCGCTGCCTGGGCTATCCAAGTCAAAGCACCATAGTGTCTAAAAAAAACCCCACAATTGTTCCATGTCCACAGTATTTTTAGATTCTTTTTCTCTCTAACAGCAGTTCCCTATGCCAGAAGCAAGTGCATTTGAAAACTGAGAAGAATTTCTGAAAATAGCTTGTCATAAGGCCGGGAGGGGGGTCTTTTCGCAGAGAAAAAAAGTGAAAATTTCCACTTGTGCAAGAGCCTCGCGTAAACCCCGGCTCCAAGACAAGAAACTTGAGAGCACAGCAAATATGGTACTCCCTACTGCTACACCCAAAGTTCCCATTCCCCCCTGGTTTACAGAAGATCACTGCCAAACTTGCAAACAAGACCACGGAAAGCTGCTGTTTTTCTACTAGTCCACTTTACTGCACAATCACCCATGTCAGCCAACACGGTGTAGTGGATGGCCCCCAGTGTGGCCACCATGGCACCTGCTGACAGCTTTCTTGGTGCCCACCAAGTGTTTTTAGAAAGTGGGCACAGGGCCAGGATGCCCGGCACGGCACCTGACTGGGCAGATTTAAAAAATGAAACCTTGCTTCAGCAGCAGCTGCCACCACAGGGCAAGGTTAAGTTGTGGTGTATGCAAGAAAATGTTATTAAACAATATACTCATTTAAAAAGCCATCGTGTTAAGCAGCGCATCTACCTGAAACGTTGGAGGCATTTCTGTTAGAGTTTTGCACAAGCTCACGCTGTGACATTTTATGGCTGGCGCCACCCCCCTTGTGACAGCCATTTTGTGGCTGGCTCTGCCTCCTGTGGAAGCCATTTTGTGGTTGCACCCACCACCCTGTGGCAGAATTCCAAAGGCGCCTGCAGGCTCAAAAAGGTTGGGAACCTCTGGTGTAACAGTGAGCGTGTCAGACTAGGATCTCAGAGACCCACATTCAAATCCCCACTCTGCTGTGCAAGCCCGCTGGGTGAGCTTGGCCAGTCATTCTCTCTCAGCCCACCCTCCCTCACAAGGTTGTTGCTGTGCAAATACGGAGGAGGGGAGAATGATGCCACAAGCCACTGTGCATCCCCACTGGGGAGAAAAGCAGGGTATAAATATCTAAATAAATAAATACATTTGTACCTCGAGGATGGCCTAATGTTGAAATATTGTCTTTTTATTTGCAAAAGCTTCCCTGCCTGGTTACCTTGAGGCACTTCTTATCTGTCATGGTCGCCCAAAAGAGTAACTATTTAGTAGCCTGCTAAGCCATGTCAGATCTGTGCTGTTATATGGCCAATGAAAGTAAGAAGGGTAAAAAAAAAAAAAAGTAAGAAGGGTAATTTGGACTGCCTGTGGTGTCCACATTGATCCTTCTGGGCATGGAACAGGGGTCACTGGGGGTTTGGGGAGGTTGTGAATTTCCTGCATTGTGCAGGGGGTTGGACAAGATGACCCTGGAGGTCCCTTCCAACTCCATGACTCTATGATTCTATGTATTTACCATTCTGAGAACCTATACCAATCAGTTTCCATATCCACTCTGATGGGAACAGGCACAGGACGCCACAAAGTTTTCAGAATGCCATCTTATTTATTAAGGGAATTTGGAACGGTTGTTTTTAGAGTCTTTAAAGTTGATTGATTTTTGTCACTATTTTGTATGCTGTGACCCGCCCTGTCCCTGCTTGCAGGGAGGGCGGGATAGAAATCTACTCAAACCAAATAAATAAAAAATAAATATAATTCTCCTCCCACCCGCCCCACAGATGAGCACTGTGAAAGCTGATAGTGATGACCATCATTTAGGAAATGCACACATGGCACAAGATAGCACATGTGCCACCGCCAGGTCTCATCCTCTTCTTCCCAACTGCAGCATGCTTTTAAGTGGGAACAGATGTCTACATCTTGCCTTTAAATTCAGATAGCATGGAAGCTATTTGTATACCATACAAGGCTGTTCTAGAGAACCATTCTAAACCAGTCTATTCAGAAGTAAGTCCCATTTTATTAAAAGGAAAGTGTCCTGTAGACCGCAGCCCTAGACTTTAGGCAATGAATGAACATTGCTTGAAATATAAAAAGCAAAAAATAAAAGAATAGCCAATACGTATTAATGCATTAAAAAGAAATACATAATAAATGTAAAAGTAGAACTGCTAACAGGCAGCAAATACTAAGATAGCTTAAATAACTAGTGCATAAATTAAAAGTGTCTCTAAACAAATTTCATTTTTTGCACTGAGATCACTACTATTGTATCAAAACCATCAGCAATTAGAATTCTACCATTACATTTCCACAACTCCATCACAGCATGTTTGTGCAATGGTAAGTCCCATTGGCTGCGTTCAGGTGTCACAGTAAACCACAGTATGACTAAACCACAGATTATTGTGAAGTCTGCATGCAGAATGTGACACAAATTGCAGTTTGTTGATTCAAAATCACAGTTTGTTCCTGGTTAATTAATTGTGGCTTATGACTAAATCCAAAGCAGAAATCCCAGTTTGCTTAATAGTGCTGTTCTTCTCAGCCTCCTGCATACAGACAACAGTACAGAGCGAGAGCAAAAGGAAAAAAAAACAGGTACTACAGGTACGTGCAGCAAACCGTTGGTTAAACACAAACTCAGGACATTATGTTCCATTATGGTACACCCTAGTAAGTGTGAATAGGATCACAGCCTTAAGCATATGCTTAATTCTTTTCCAGTGAAACCAATGGGGCTTGCAACTATTTCCATCGGCTGTACTGTGTCCTAACTCCATTAAAATCAGTGGACAGCCTTCCAACGTTAATGGGGTGCACACCGCACACTGTAAGAGAGGGGAGCAGTCAGACGTAAAAAGAGGCAGGCAGCCTCTGTCAGCATATCTGTATTAAACAATGTAAATGCCAATACCTTTTCCCACAAAGTTGACATAGAGAACGATGCCTTGGCTGGAGTCTTCTAACATTATCTCCTTCCCATTGAGAGTGTCATAGGCTCGCTTGCAGTCTTCAATCAGCCCATATTTCACAAATGAATAGGGTTTATTTGGTGGCATTAAGAGAGCTTCCACAGAGCCACATTCTTCTACCATGCTAAGCAGTTGGCATCTACCTATGCCATTACCCAGACCACCATTGGCAATAACCAGGCTCTAATTAGCGGGAAAAGAGTGAAGGCAAAAAAGAGAGAGAGACATGAATAATCAGCATTAATTTATTCATCTGAGAACAGCATCCGATAAACACAGCAGAGTAATAAAGAGAAAATGAGGCCATTATCCCAGAATTGACATGTGGTCAATTTTGCCACATAATTTGAATGAAATGTTTAGATTTCAAATAGCTTGGTATGTTATGATTAAAAGAACCCAGTGCTCTCATATGCACAGCATTGATATTAATGGGTCATCTAAGAAGAAGAGGAAGAAGAGATTGGATTTATATCCCGCCCTTCACTACCCAAAGGTGTCTCAGAGCGGCTGACAAACTCCTTTCCCTTCCCCTCCCCACAACAGACACCCAAGGGAGGCGGGGCTGAGAGAGCTCTTGACAGAAACTTCTTCACCCAAAGAGTGATTAACACTTG